AAAAAAAAAAAAAAATCTTGATTTCCATGGCTGGCCAAGTGTATTTTATATGTTCAAATTCCATATTGTTCGACTTGGGTCACGCAAACATAGCACACACAACAGTCACTCGCTCCACCATAGCCGAACACAGTCGATTTTCTCATACCTTTTCCTATTTGTATATTTTCCCCACATGGAAATCTTCAAATCATACTCGACTCTCTTCGCGAAAATATCAAGTAACCATGAATAAAGATTCGTAGACATGATTTGGTAATATCAACACATCCTTGCATAAATAATATTTGCGAAAATACCAAGTAACCATGCATAAAGATTTGTAGACATGATTTGGTAAAAATCAACATATCCTTGCATAAATAATCACATACTTACAAGTTCAGAAGTTTGTTTCACCAAGATTAGACGAACACAAACCAAGGATTATCGACTTCAATGTAGTATCTGTTCTATGTGCCAAATGATGCACTGTTGCTAACATCTTTCTTCAATGACTTCAAATGTGAATTAGAGATTTGCGCTTGGGCTGCAAAACAGGCAAGTAGATATGTATGTAACTCAAAATGCAAGAGATTTTGATTTTCCAGAATTATGTCTTATCAATCTAAGTTGGATATCAGATATATGGAAGTTAATGACTTATCAATCTAAGTTGAATTTGTGGAATTTGTACCTGCCAAACAAATTATTACTATTATTATTACTATTATACAAATATTTACGAAAACTAATCTTGTCCTGTGTATTCATGTTCACTTATTATCCCTCCTACATATCGACATAAAGTTTCATGGAATTGAAAACAACAAATGCATTACCAAGTTTGCATCAATCAAAAAGTTCAATTTAATTTTACGCAGCTGTAACTACAATGTATAGCAATTCATTTCCAACATGTTTCATGTAGTAAATACACGAATAATTACTTACGACTTAAGAAAAGGTCATGAAAACCTTTTTCATTAGGAGTTGCTGCAGCCTTACTGGATTTTAGGTGATTACAAGGACTAAGGGTGTGATTGGATATAAACTTAACCCCTCACTATCCTCAATATTATCAATATAATTAAATAATATCAACCAATCAATCTTTCACATCATATCAACTTCAATTCACTATCCATCCACTCATATAATTTTAACTAACCCTCATTGTCAATCATTTCTCCTACTTTTATATCAAATCAACTTTAATTATGTTTTTTAAATATTATTCTAATGTAAATTTAAATCCCCACTAACAACTAAGCATATCACTTTTTTAAAATGAACTATGTTTAACAAAAAAACCAATCAAATCCATATCCAACCCTAATGGATATAAGAATATGGTTCATGATCCTTAGGAGTACTTTTCAGTTTTTAGTGTAAAACAAGGAACTATATAACTTTATCATTTCACAAGCATAACAACATTCTCAACTTGTGGTGAAGGATGTGAATACTCACAAATTTTCGTTCAACTTCTTCAAGAAATCTATCGGGCTTATCGAAATAGTCGGCACATTCTTTCTTTATTTTTTCCGAAAGAGCTTCCTCACCGGCCTTGTCTAGATTTCTTATCAGAATTGTTAACGTTAACTTATCCGGCACGTGACCTGAAGCCTTCATCAGTTCGTACGTTTCCATTGCCTTCTCTACCATTTCAACTTTGAAATACACTCCAATAAGTTCGGTATAAGACCTTGCATCAGGTTCAAGGCCTTCTTTCCTCAATTCAAAGAAGAGTTTTTCGACCATCTCGATCATTTTGTTCTTCCCCAACATCATTAACATGTCATTGAACAGGGATAGGTCAGGCACATACCACGGCTCTTTACGTATATAGTCAAACACCTGAAATTTTGATAAATATCAGATAAAATCATAGACAGAAAAAAAAA